ACTTGTGTCTGTATCCATTGCAATGTGCCTTTGAAACTCTTGTCATCAAAAGTCGGCATCTACTTCCTTATAGCTTGAATCTGGGCTTGCATTATACCTTCCGTTGGCTGATAGAATGCAGAAGGAATAAGGATGCCAGTTCTGCAGCAATAGATAACAAATACATAATTTATTTTATTTTCCTTTTCAAAAAACTCTCGAGTATTCTAGAAAATCAGCAGTACTCAGAGAGATATTCTTCCCCTCTACTGCTTCCAGCTACTTGGTAAATTTTCAAACATTTTCTTTCTTTACTTGTATATTCTATAATCTCTTTCACATCTTCCACCTCATGAAGCTTTCTAACTCTGTTCTTTCCTCTTCTGTTTTTGAGTTTTTAGAAATAACTTCGGCTGAAGTGGAATTTTTTTACTATGCTATTGGGCATTACTTTCGGCACAAAGTTTTAATTCACTTAACAGCTTCTAGTACATCTATTTTTTTTTTTTTGGCCAGCAGGCAATGCTGCCAGCTATGTCCATACCAGCAGGCAAATTGCAAGTAACTCTGCGGATGAATACAAAAATATTTAAGAAAGGGGAAGTCCGCTTGCTGTGTTTGATAAATGTCCATTTTTTTTTGTCACCTGAAGCCTTGCATGTTAGCGTAAGATATTTGTGGCCTGAATAGAATAATGTTATCTGCTATTTTCTATTTATTTTGGATATTTCCTCATTTTTATCTGAGGGGAAATATGATATAATAAAATGAGCACTGAATTTCATAATTAGAAACCAGAGTTCAAATTCTGGATCATCTACCCCTTAGTTGTATCACTTCCGGCAAATCACTTCTCGTAAACCCAATTTCTTTATTACTTAGTTGTTGTTTTTGCTTTTTTTGGGAGAGTAAGATGCAGCATGTAGCATTTTGTAAGCTACAGACTCCAATCTCTACTTCTCTTCTGAGATCTACATATTTTTAACTGCTTATTGGACATTCTCTGCTGAATGTCCCATGTACAAATCTATCGCAGCATGTACTACTCCCCAGTTTTCATTTTCTCCTGAGTTCCTTCATTTGTTAAACGGTACTAATGTTCTGCCAGTTATCTAGGTTCCACACACCCAAACAAGTTTCTGATGGCTTTCTCTCATTTGTTCCAAGAAGCCATTTATTTATTTATTAATCTATGCATTCAGCCAAAGCCAAATACCTGCTCTCTTTATTGTTGCTACACATCGTCCATCGTCAGCTGCAGTCCTGTGTTTCAAACCAGACTTTGCTCCATCCTGTCTCTGTTTCAAACTCTGCTCCTCTGGTGAAGGCATGCATCTTGGACCTCTCAGCCTAAGCCTTGACCAGATCTTATCACTTCTCTGTCCATGTTCTCCCCAGCCACAGCATCTCTTGTCTCTGGCAAGAACAGTTATTCCTACTCTGTGCCTTTCAGAACCTACCCTATCTCCTTCTAATAACCATCTGTGCCACTAAGCCATTTTGTCCCATCTCCATCTCCCCAGTGGAAGAAGAGACTCCAATACTCTCAGTGACAGTGAGAGTGTTACCTAACTGTAATAAACACAGCTTCCTCATTTATCAAGTGAGAGGGATGCTGGCTACCTCACCAGGCCATTGTGAAATAAGATAACATACGTGACTGGCACAGAGGAAAAACTCGCAACCCAAGAGTTCTTCCCAAAGACCTGGATATGATTGTATAACACTAAACACAATACTCCTCACCTGACAGTTCAAAATAAAAGCAGCTTAGAATCCATTTAGGGAGATGAGAATGAAATGTTTAATACAATTGTGTATGTAGATAAAACAGGAAATGCAGTGCAGGTGGATGAGTACAAAGTGAAAAAGCCGAGAAGTATGAAATAGGATTACTCATGGAAGACAAGCAGGATGTGTCTTTTAAAGAAACCAACAGAATTTGTAAAAAGAGAGCAGGAGAATATTTTAAGTGTGGAGAATTACACAGGAAAATACCCGAGAACAAACAAAGTGTGACATTGTGCTGCTAGCCTGTTAAAACGGGAAGATGTGTTTTGGGTTAAAGATTGTCTTCAGAGAAGAAAAGTGGTGTCAGTTACTGCAGACTTCTTTTTTATTGAATTTGTCGGGGTGATATTGGTCAGCTACTGCAGGCTTAAGCTTCTTGTTCTAATTGCAGAGAGATATATGTGAGACAATGTTTCTAATATTATCCAAATTTTATTTTCAGTAAAGCCTGTGAGTTTTGTTGTGTCATTCTTAAATAGTCAAGTTAGGGACTTCATGAATTTGCAAATCCCTGATGTTTTATTAAACAAATGGTGCCTCGACTTGCTTTCAAATACATTGTTTTAAATCTAAAATAGTATTTGTGGAGGGAAAATTTGGCTGCATTTAAGCAACCATCCTCCAAGGGAGGTTTCCTGTGTTTTATTTATGAACATTAGTTGTATTCCCCTTCTGTGTGAATTGGGCTAGAAAATCACAAATGCAAAAGCCTTTGGGTTTGTGTAATCCAAGCTCTGCATGTTTTACAAATGAGGAACAGAGAGAGAGGGAGGTTAAATGTCTTTCATGAGGTCTTAGTTGGTGCCAAGATGAAACTTAAACTTCTCCTTAGGTTTTTAGTCTAATGCTTTAAAAAATATATCCTGAAGGACCTAGAATAGCCACTAAAGACAAAGAGCAGAGCTGGAGTACATCCACTATCAGACAGCAAGGCTTGCTCTAAAGCTATAGTAATTAACAAAGTGTAATATTGGCAGAAAGATAGGCCAATGAAATATGAGAGATTCCAGAAACACATTCACACTGAAATGGTGCCTTGATATGTGAGGATGCCACTGTACTTCAGTAGAGAATCAATGGTCTTCTCAATAAATGGTGCTGTGTCAAGTAGATATATCACTGAAAATTTTTTTTAAAAAAGGAAACTGACTCCTACCTCACACCAAACACAGAAATTTATTTGAGATGAATTACAGACATTGCATATGATAGCTAAATTAATCAAGTTTCTAGAATAAAACATGGAGAATATATTCACCTGAAATAGGTAAATACTTCTTAACTTCTCCCTCTCTCTTTCCCTGTATCTCTTCCTTTGATACTGGATGCTTAAAAATGGGAAAACAAGCCTTGGCTGGCATAGCTCAGTGGATTGAGCACAGGCTTCAAACCAAAGCATCGCAGGTTCGATTCCCAGTCAGGGCATATGCCTAGTTTGCAGGCCATGGCCCCCAACAACCGCACATTGATGTTTCTCTCTCTTTTTCTCCCTCCCTTCCCTCTCTCAAAATAAATAAATAAAATATTTAAAAAATGGGAAAACAATATTATCTGGGTTGACTAGTTAATAAATATAATAGTAATCATTTCTATGAATTATTTCCAAAATAGTATGTATTTTCATGTTCCACTATTCTAATTAATGCTTCTTCAAAATTTATGACTCTTCATTTGTCTTTTGTTTATGAAATTTTAGGAATGGACTTGAGACAATAAATGATTCTTTATTAGGCTAAGACACTTCTTTACAATGAAAAGGACTACAAGATTTATAATTATTTCAATTTAATTTAAGGAAACAGCACCTGGGGCTAGTATGGGGTCTGTACTATAATTTCATGAGTCTGTTCCTCTTTTGTTTATTTATTTTTGTCCATTAGACTCCATATGTAAGTGAGATCATATGGTATTTATCTTTATCTGAATGGCTTATTTCTCTTAGTATAATACTCTCCAGGTCCAACCATGCTGTCACAAAAAGTATGATTTCCTTCTTTTTTATACCCAAGTAGTATTCCATTGTGTAAATGTACCACAGCTTTTTTTTTTTAACCCATTCATCTACTTGTAGGAACTTGGGATGCTTTCAAATTTTGGTTGTTGTGAATAATACAACAGTGAACTAGGGGTGCAAATATATAGGGGTTCTTTAGAATTTGTGTTTCAGGTTTCTTCAGCTATATTTCCAAAAACAGGTATATAATTAAAGAACAAGGGACAACTGTAGATGCCCTTTCCAGGATTACTAGAAATAAATATTATTAGAAATAAATATTATTATTTAAAGGGGAAAAATTCCAGGACCAGCTGAAGAAAAAATGTATTCACAAGACCTAAGTTGAACTTTCCAGCAATGCCACTTCTAGGTGTGTACTCAAGAGAATAAAAAGCAGGGATGGAAATAGATTATGTGTATGCTCATGTTCAGGGCAGCATTAGTCACAATAGCCATGAGGTAGAAGAGACCCAAGTGTCCCTCAATATATGAAGAGATAAACAAAATGTTGTATACACATATAATAAATATTATTCAGCCTTAAACAGAGAGACATTCCAATACATTCTACAACATAGGTAAGGACATTATGCTAAGTTAGGTAAGCCAATCACCAAAGGACAAATACATGATTCCATTTACATAAGGTACATAGAATAGTGAAATTCTAAGAGACAGAAACCACAATGGTTGTTGTCAGGTGGTGGGGGTGGGAGGAACAGGGAGTTAGTAGGCAATAGCTACAGAGTTTCAGTTTGCAAGATGAAAAATTTCTGGGGATGGATGGTGGTGATTTTTGTGCAACAGTGTGAAAATACTCAGTGCCACAAACTGTGTACTTAAAAATGGTTAAATGGTAAACTTTATGTTATATATATTTTACTACCATAAAATGTGCTTAGCTCAGTATCTTGCCATGTGAGAGATCCAACATTCTTCTTAATTAATCGAAAACAGTGATGAGAGAGAGTTTTAACCTACCACCTTTGAAAGGAAGGATGATAATTTTTTAGTGTGATTCTTATTTTCAATTTAGTTAGCTAGACCTAGAGTTGTTTTCTGCATTCCCCCCCACCCGGATTTTAGGGATATTATCACCACCTTTGAAATCTGTTTCCATAGATCATGGTAAGTCTTATTCTCTCATTTTATTAGTCAGGGTTCCTCATTAACATAGGAAACTGTTCAGTAAAGACCTGTCTCATTTGATAATGGTCCCTGAGTCCCCTGGATTATGGCAGGGATTTCACTTTGTAATCATCTCCCAGGAGAAGCTGTCCGAACAGCTGCGAAGGCAAGAGCGAGCTACAATGGACAGTGATGTTTTTTACAGCAGCAAGGAGCTGAAGCTGACCAAATTGAATCTTTTCTGCTTTTCACTGGTAAGTCTCTTCACATGCACCGTTTATACTCTCATTTTTATCTTACTGTGTCAACTAAAAGGATGAAATTAGGATATTTCCTAAACTTCCTATGAGGTAATATTAATACATTTACAGTCTGATAAGAAAGGCCACATCAGAAAGAGGAGAAAGGATGTTTTCATTAAAGCATATACGCCAATACTATTCAAAGGTAAGTGATTTACAAAAATATAAAGAGACATATATATATACATATTTATCTACAACAATGACTAGTTGTTTAACATTTGATGCTGAATTTGTAGGATATGTAAATAGTATTTTTAAGCAAGTATTTTCTTCTCTTTCGTATAATAGTATAAATATTTTTGCAACAAAATATGTTGCATTTGGGTTGTTTGCTTTGCTTTGAGACATCCTAGAAATCAAAATTTGTTCTGTGTTATTTGAATAATGAATTTCATGCAGTGCTGACTTGGTGAAACTTCTACAGAGGCTGCTTTCTGAGTCACAAAGCACTGCAAACGCAAGGCACAATGGATTGATCCAGTCCTGCAGCTGTGCTCATTCAAGGGTATGAGCACCTCTCAAATTTTTCGATGTTATTATCTTTTTTCACTTATTATACATTTATTCTTTTTATTTATGAAAAAATAATTTGTATTGTTATTCTATTATAGTTGCCCCAATTTCCCCCATTTGCCCTCTTCTACCTATCCCACCCCCTGCTCCGACAGTCCATCCCCACAGTGTTGTCCATGTCCATGGGTCATTCGTACATGTTCTTTGTCTAGTCCCTTCCCCTTCTTTCCACCATTATCCCCCTCTCCCCTCCCCTCTGGTCACTTTCAGTCTGTTCGATGCTGCCTGAAGTAGATCAGTGAAAGTTAGCAGGTAGTCATAGATCTGGAAATATTTTATAACTCTAACCCGCATTTGTGACCATCTGCCAAAGCTAAAAATGAATGTCAAAAATAATCTTATTCATTTCTATCTGTGTTTACAGCAGGACATTATGTCTATTCATTGGTTTTTCACAATGTCATGGGGAAATAGAATGGTTTAAATTGATGTTTGTTTTCTTTTCAAATTGCAAATAAGATTAACATAAGTGCTGGAGATGGAGCTGACACAGGTTGTAATACCTAAACAGGAGGTGTTTTAAGCCCAGAGGAGGGATTTAATCTTGGAGCATCTTGAAAAACGAAATGTGATTGTGGTTGTGGTAGGAAGAATCATGGAGTTTGCGCTGCCTATATAGTCCCAGTTTACAAAATAACTGCCAGTGCTCCACTTTGCATTGTGCCATATAAATCTGATTGGAGAATTCCCATTTTAGGTGATTTAAGTGGTATTGTGCATTTTTTCTAGTTGATCTAAAAGAACTATATATGGTTTTATACGAATACACTTCCCAGGGAAATAGGCAGTGAGGCAGCACAGCCCACTGCATTCTGAGTCCACTCTGAGCGGTACTATAATCAATATGCTAATGTTTCTGTAACTTAGCGTAGCTTGGCCTAGTGGGGCATGCGCTTGTAATCCTGCCATTAAAGACTTACAGCCACATAACGAGCATGATTGTCTTTCTCTGTGACAGAGAGAAAGGAACAAACACTCAAAAAGAATTGCTGCAAGTCCATGCCTCATAGACTCAATTTGACTGTAACTCTTTTCTTTCTTTTAAAGTTACTCTTAAAAAGTTACTTTAAACATATTGGATTAGACTGAACCACCAAGAGCATTGAATATTTTGTTTGAGCATTCCAAAGTTTACACATTTGTCTAAATTAGTTGCTTTAATACTACAAGGTACTTGGAAAAAATTATGTCCATCTTAGGTGTTATTTATTTCTACTGTGGAGTAAATAAAGTTATTTAGTGTATGGACTCTAAACCAGGGTGTTATGACACCCCACTGTGCTGTTGTGAACGGTGAAAGGGGGTAGGGTTACATTTTTTGGCCAGAAATTGTGAATATTTCAAAGCATATTTTATCTTTGCCTATATGAATGTAAAAATATGGAACATTGTATTTTTAAAAAGAGATTAAAAACCACTGATTTAGTGGAAAGAAAGATTTCAGCATTATAAAGTGAAGGTATATATAAATATATTGACCTTTAAATCTCTAGGATGGAGGTAATTTTAAATATTAAGCATTTCATAAAGATTACCACTAAGGAAAGCCAGTTGGAAGAGTTAAACATTCCTTATTTAAGTGTAGGGGGAAATTGTAACTCTTTCAGTAGATAGGGTTTTTAAGAGAAATATAAGACAAACTTAATGAACTGCCCATTCTGAACCAAGAGTATTATAAATAATCCATTAAAAGTGATTGCTTTTATTTTGGATCTATAAACTCAAAATGGAATCTCTCTTTCAAAGGGGAGACAGGAATATCCTTTTATGTATGCCACTTTGACTCCAGGATTTTCCTTAGAGTTTTACATTGTGATAAGGCTTTTAGAAAGCTCGTTCATAAGAAGCAAGATGATTTCCTTGTTGAGCTCATCATATAGTTATTGAGTTTAAGGTTACCAATCAATTATCTCTGCACCATTTCTTCAGTAATTTGAAATGCTGCCTCTATTTTTATTTGAACTCTATCCTATCCCACTGCTTTGTCTCTATCCCTTTCCTTATACCTATTCTTTGCATACTTATTAAGATACTTGTAATGCCAAGTATATATCTCCCTTTGAAGAATGCCTATCTTTGTCCTTCAAAATTTGAACTTTTTAATTCTTTGCACGTCTATGTAAATTTAGGATCATCTTGTCGGGTTATAATAAAATCTTTGATGAAATCTTTGATGAGGAGAGAGCTGACTAGGCCCTGGCTGGGTAGCCAAGTTGTTTAGTGTATCAACTCAATCCCCCTTGATCCCCCTTCAAGGCACATACAAGATGCAACCAATAAATGCATGAATAAATGGAGCAATAAATTGGTGTTTCCCCCACCTCTAGTCTCTTCATTTCTCTCTTTCTAAAATAAATCAATTAAAAAAAGATAGATTTGATTTTTATATCTTCTTTACAGAAAATTGGCTTCATAATGGGTTTGAGATGCACAAATGTGCATCTTTTTTATTTATTCTGATTTTTATGGTCTTTAATGATGTTTTATAATGTTCTGTATAAAATTATTCCACATATTTTGCTAAATTTATTGGTAGGGGTCTAAGAATTTCAGTTGCTATTGTGATTATTATTTTCTTAATTTGTTTGGCTGATTTATGGGTACATTATTAATTTTCAGATGTTGATATTATAAGTACTTTTGCTGAATTTTAAAAATTCTGATAGCTAATCTTTTTAAGATTTTATTTGCAGATAATCTGTAAGTTTTTCTTTTCTTTAGCAGCCCCTATCAACTTCTCTCTCCCTTCTATAACACTGACAGGAATGCTAGAATGGCAGCCATCCTAGTCTTGTCTCTAATGTTCATGCAATTACTTCTTGAGTTTTCTGGAGCTTTTGATAACTAAACCTGATGAGATTAAGGAAGTCTTATCCTTTTACAATTTGTTAAGATCATGAGTGAATAATAAATTTTTCAAATGCCTTAGAATATTTATTGAAACAATAAACTTTCTTTTAAATATTTTAATATGTATTTAAATGTTGAAGCATTCATATATTTCTATATTAAATATTGACTGGCCACTATATATATACATATATCTGAAGATATGTCCATTGCTTTTAGAAGAGAGAAAGGAAGAGAGAGAGAAACATCGTTGTGAGAGAGAACCATGGATTGGTTGCCTCCCTCTTGCATGCATCCCTGGATCATACATGAAAGCTAGTTATGTGCCCTGATCAGGATTCAAACCCACAACCTTTTGGTGTATGGGATGCCACTCCAATCAAGTGAGCCATCTGGCAAGGGCTGGCCATGGTATATTTCTATGTACACTATTAAATTTTATTTTGTTATCATTATATTTAGGATTTAAAACAAACTATGTTATAACTAAATAGGTCTATAGTTTTGTTGAATTGAAAGAAAATTCTGTCATCTTAGTTTTTAGAATTCTTATTAATCCTATGTTCTAGCACCTCAATATACCCTCCACACTTCTACCTGAATGTTTCATGTGTTTTCTATTTATCTTTCTATTCTGTACTCTTGGCAAGAACTCCTCAGCACTTTCTAGTTCTTTTGAGACGTCTAGAGTTCATCCCAGTTTTTGATTATTTACCACAAATTTCTATGATTATTAATTTTCAAGAGTTTACATTTTTTATTGCTATTTAATCATTCTCATTTTATTTTTGCTTATTTTGTTTTCATCATAGATTATTTTTAATTGGAATTAGTTTTTCATTTAGCTCTGTGAAGGTAATACATATCCTTTTTAAAATTATTTCTTCACCCATTTTATGATTTTAACTTTATCTAGAATAAAATGGTTTTATTTTCAGACTGTCCAAGCTGTTGGCTCTTGTTCTCATCATTTGATCCTTTCATATATCTTGGCTACTATTGAATGATAACTATTTTTCTCTTTCCTCTCCCATTTTCCTACTTCCTATGTCTCTGACTTTCTCCCCTTTTCTCCTTCTCCTTTCCCTCTCTCTTCCTCTCCTTTCCGGTCTCCATCCAGTTGTGAGGCAAAATCTCAAGTCTGTCTGTGGCTCCAATGTAGAATCAAGGCTTGCATTTCTGGTCCAGAGATCTCATCCCAAGACTGGTGTATTAATCATCCAATCACTAAACTGGCTGAGTTTGTTTCAGATCTCAGTTTGGTTCTGCATTATTGAATTTTGCTTTTCTGGCCCAATAACTGTTGGAAGGAGCTTTTTCCAGCCTCCTTTTATAGTGAGTGCTATTGTAGCCCCTGGATTTCAGCATGGAGTTTGCTTTATGTGGAGGACATACGTCTAATGCATGTTATCCCACAAGGCCCAAAATCTAGTCAGTGCTACCTGTTTGAGAATGGGTGTTTAACAGGTCCAAAGCATTACCTCTACTCATCAGTTTATGTTTCTGTTAGGTTTTGAATACTCTATATATTTATGTATTTTAGAACACACAGGTCTGGGTCTTATTTAGGTCTTTTTAATTCTCCTAATAATTTGCCATGTGTTTGGAGCAGGGGTTACTTAATAATTTCAAACTGTAGAGCATATCGCTTGAGAGTTCCAAAGGCAGACAATACAAAAGAATTCAATCTTTACTTTGCTTGTATCTTAAAATGCATTTTTAAAGATGAGACCATTTCAATACAACACAGTAGTTTTTTTCTCATTGTTTCAAGCAAGAAAACTTTTTTATAATACAAGTGATGTTTATATTGATGACACCATTATCAGCATCAACAGTTATCATATCTAGAGATTTTCAGTATATTTAGTGCACACCTCTCTCCCTTAAAACTGTTTCTAGATGATGCATAACTAGAGCAATTCTGTCTCAAAAAGAAAAAAATATATAGCAAGTCAATTCAGTCAATACATTTGCTTCCCAAATACAAAGATTACAATATAGTTTGCAGTGGTTTTAAATGCAAACCCATACATTTTAAAAGTTAATTACTCCATATAAATAAAAAACAAATAAATAGTATCATTTCTTAATATGAAAAGAATGTGAACCTTAATATTAATGTCTTCATTGTACTTGTGAAATACCTTTGCTGTCTGAAAGCACATACTGTGCTCATCTGGTCCTGACAATTGCTCTGTACAGTAAAGACTGCTGCCTTACAGTTGAGGAAGCTATAAAACAACAGATTGTGCTTCTTATTTAAGGACATAGTGTTAATTAAAGACATGCATATATCTAAGGTCTGACACCCAACACAGTTTATTGGTACACAAATTAACTTTTATTTAGTACCTTGAACTTGATGTCTTCATCGTGTTTCTTGAGAAATTACCTCATTTTGTGCATGGCTCTCCAATACTTACAATCTTGTTTGAATTTTGGCTCTGTAATAAATGGTGAGAATGTCTTTCTTCACTTTCTTGTTCACTGTTAAAAACTGGCACACCAAAAACTCTTAATCTCTATGCCTAGGATAATTCAAATGCGATACTGTAGAAAGGTGGTTTTGGTTAGATGACTTTTCAAGGAAAATTATCATTTTGTTATTTTTTGACTCATAAATCTCTTTATTGCAGGAGGGCTCTATGGGCAGTTTATATGAGCCAGTCCCAGAGCAGCATGCTAACAAAGAAAGCACCTCTGGTAAAATTGGTTCTCATTTTATCCTTTGGGGAGAGTGGAAAAGCATACAACAATCTTTTCATGGTGAGTGAAGCCTTGAACTGAGTGGATTATATATTGTTATAAATTTAGAATCACTTACTTAGTGATGGCTGTTAACACAGCCAAAATCCCATGTTCTCACCCTGGCTGGTGTGGCTCAGTGGACTGCATGCTGGCCTACAAATGGAAGAGCTGCTGGTTCTATTGCCAGGCAGGGCACATGCCTGGGCTGCAGGTGAGGTCCCCGATTGGGGGCATGTGAGAGGCAAGCAATCCATGTTTCTCTCACACATCAATGGTTCTCTCCCTCTCTTTCTCCCTCCCTTCCCCTCTCTCTAAAAATAAATAAATAAAATCTTTAAAAATCCATTGTTCTCAGAAAGTTCTTCATTTATTTTTAGTTTCTGATTTTCTCTTCATTGTGTCTCTTTCATGATTTTGGCTTGTTAATATGAACTACCATTCATAGTGTATGTATTAAGTGATTATATAAAGTAACTCAATCCTCAAAACAACTTTATGACAAAGAAATAATTATAATATTTTCTTGATGAGGAAATTTCAAGAGAGAAAAGTAAAATAACATTCTAAACGCTATAAAGGAGTAAGTGTTAAAGCTGGCAATTAAATATATATGTATCAGTAGTTTATCAGTAGTTTAGTGGTAAACCAGCTCTTTAGCGTGGGCCCAGCTTGAGATTTGTAGCATTTGCCAATTGCTATGGTGTAAATGCTTCTACTGTGGTCAATTTAAAACTACCAGTGATTTAATAACAGGCTTACAACACCTGAATGTTTAATTATTCACTACCTCTAGTGCTGACCACAGCACACCACTGACTACTTTAAAGTCCGTGCTAACCACATATTCAGCAGCTTATTTAATTTATGGACACACACCATCAACTTACAAAACATGAGTATTGCTAGAATGCAAGTGCAAATAGTTTTTGTGAATTACCTTTATAACCCTAGAGGAATAGAGTTCTCTGTGCTATGCAAAATTGGACCTGTCCCTGTTTAACAGTGCTGGCCATTCTCCTAGTTAATTGTGCTATATTTAAATTAACTCCATACTAATAACTTATTTTGCTTCTACTGTGGTAAGGACAATACAAAACATCCTGTCAGCTGCAAATAATGAACTTCCCTATACTTATAGATTTAGATGTCATCTCCTACCCTTATAATCATACCTCCCCAATAACATAAAAAATAATATTAACTGTCATTTATTCAGTGCTTCTTTATTATAAAGCACTAGACTAGGTGATGCTATATATGATATTATCTGTGTTGATCCTTACAAGAACTTTAAAGAAGTTTTAAAATGTTGAGAAAGGTTAAATAGTTTTCCAGTTTAAAAAAACAAGATGACCCAGGATTAAAATCCACATATTCTTTTCCTCTAGAGAAAGGGCTACAGTAATATGCCTTTGAGTTTTACACATACCTCTCACACACACTTATTTTATTCTTTGGGCACATTAAACACTTTCTTATGCATAGCTTACAGAACGTTTCCATTTCTCAGAAACTTCAATAAACTAAAAAGCAATGTAATGTTGGAAAGCAGTTCAATCATAAGTCTCAGTAAATAAAACTAATCGGAAAAGTTTTTAGTACAGTGGAAACTCTTTCCTTAACCCAATACCCTTTTCAATGTCAGTAAGACATTGATGTTAACAGAAATGCGTAAGAGGAAGCAGCAGTCCATTTTACACACTAATGTGAGGGAGGGCACTGTTCACATGGTGGCTGTCAATGGGCACTGCAAATGTTTGTAAGCATTTTTAGTCTATAATTAAAAAGAAAAATTGAATAAGCTGAGGAGCCTGAAGATATCTCCTTAAATGTGTGAATTTAATAATTATACATGAAACATAAACAGCTTCATAGCCAACCAATTTGCTAGAATTTTAATAAAACTTCACTTACATTGCAAAAGTAGATGAGAATAATAAAACATGATTTAAATTGCTACAACCCTCTCTCCATATAGATAGATAAAAAGATAGTTTTATATACATATATATGTTCCCCTCTACTTATCTCATGTACATAGATGTCTCAGTATTTAATTGAAAAATATATTCATATATACAAATATAAGTGTGTATATAGCTCTACTTCAGCCATAGATTTCACTATTTAAAATTTGAATTTTATCAATCCTATCAAATTATCGTTGATACTTATTTCATGCTTAATGAAAATGAAAATCATTCTATAGTTTGATTTAAAAAATCTATCTTTTAATAATAAAATTTAGCAGTTTAGGACTTTCCTGACTTCCCCTCCAAGCTTCTGAAGAATGGATGCTTTCCCCCACAGGTGTTCTCACTTACTCCTTTTTTCCTAATTAAAAAAAAAAAACATTTTGGACCAGATTTGGCAGTATCTAAAAAAGCGTATCCTTTTTAGATTCACATTGTAGAAATACTACAAAGACACCCCTAGAGTTAATGAAATCATGCTTCAAGCTCTCAATCCTCCACCCAAAAGTATTTGTTACCTGCCCCCAGAGGGGAGGTGCTCCTGAACTCAAACCCTTTGGAACCAATATGACAGCCTATCTAATAGTTACACTGGAGATTATAGTGTACACTAATGTCATTTGCTACATGAACTGAAGAGAAATATTAAAATGAGAAAAGAATCTTAGGCTTCTTGGCTTCCCTTACAGGTATTTTATTTATGCATATTTATTAGGAGTTTTACTGTATGAAAAACACTTTTTATAAGCAAGGCAGGGAGTTACATAGATGGGCATAAGATGATCGCATATAGACCAACTGCACAATTGAGGGTAGAAGAGATACTGAAAGAAAAGTTTACTGTAGGATTTTAAATAAGAAACATCAGAAATACCCAGCTTGCATTTTAACTGTAGTTCCAGAAAGGCTCGTTAATGGAGAACTGGCTCAAAGAAAAATCAATTTAAAATATGAGACCATTAAATTTTGTTAAGGGGAGTAATGAGTGATTCACTTTAGTATATAGCAAAGCCAGAGAATTGTGGAGGGCTACTGCCAAACAAGAGGGCAAGCAAACAAACAAAAACAGTTGGTAAAAGTTTTATAGAGTGAATAATCACACAAGTAAATAAATGCACTGAAAGTAAAGGTACTGATATACTGGCCTAACTGAAGACTGATTACTTTGCCCCTTATTACATTAGTGAAATGTAGGCTGTTACTCCTTGATTCTGTATCTGTTTTAGGACCTCTTTATAATGTCCAAAGCTTATAAAAGATCTTGATTTAGAACTAGAGTGAGAGCGCGGGCTGCGAACCAAAGTGTTGCAGGTTCAATTCTCAGCCAGGGTATATGCCTGAGTTGAAGGCCATAACCCCCAGCAACCGCACATTGATGTTTCTCTCTCTCTATCTCCCTCCCTTCCCTCTCTAAAAATAAATAAACAGAATCTTAAAAAAAAAGAACTAGAGTGAGAACATAAAATGTTTGTACCTTTGCCAGCTTGGGGTTAACTGGATCATTCCTGAATTATCTGGTTTGTCCTTTATGTTGATTGAAGCAAGCAAATAATTGTCAATTTTGCACTTCATTTTGTATATCACAAATTAAATTGATAAGAAATCTGAACCTTTTCAAAACTAAGCTTAAATGTGAGTAAGAACAATGTCTCTATTACTTATATGTTGTACATATTATTCATAATGTTGCACAGATATTCATTCAGTAATCATATGTAGACTAAATCAGTGGATCAGTGAAAGTTCATTAATCAAGGTAAAGAAAGTCTCAACAATGGAGCATGTCTGATGCAGTGTCTAAAAGCATGAGCTTTGGAGTTGAATTTTAGGTGTGAATTTTCATTCTACCCCTGCCACTTACCAGCTATGGGACCTGGGAAAGTTGCTCAAATTCTCTAGAACTCAGTGCCTCCTCTGCAGAAAGGGGAGTACAGTCCTCTGTGCAGGTTCAGCCATTCCATTGCAGAGAAGAGAATCTCCTCTTGCTCCCTCAGGCAGGAAAGATTTAGCACAGGAGTCAGAGGAACCAGGGAAGGGCCAATGCGTCACACCAGAGCTGAGGCCTCAACCTACAGCCTGAGATGACCTGTATTTTTATGGCCAGGAGGTAAGAACAAATTTTATACTTTAAAAAGTTGTTTAAAACAAACACAAAAATAAAGATACTGTACCACAGAAACTGTATATGGCCCACAGAGCCTACATTATTCCTATCTGGCTTTCCACAGAAAATGCTGATCTCTGCCCTAGTCAAAATGCAGATGGCAATAAGGGTAAAATTTATGCCATATTTCAAAGACTTAGTATTAATAGAAGAATATAAAACAGATTATTAAAAATTTTATATTGATTACTTGTTTAAATGGAAATATTTGGGAAATATTAAGTTAAATGGAATTTGAGTCTTCTCTTTAACACGGCTACTAGCTTGTGGCCTTCAAATGTCATGTGGATGCTTCTGTCCTGCCAGACCTAAATTTTGTCTGTTACCCAGGCCTCAGGGGACCAGAGCATGTGTTTTAGCCTTCTGGCCTCCGATAGAGGAAGGCAAATATTAAGTGTTAATCTGCCATGTCTACCACCCTTCCCTCCCAGAGCCTTTTCATCCTTATTATAGTGGCATCACTACTCTAAATAAATAGATAGATGATAGATAGATAAACAAATAAATAAGAGTGGCCTTTCTCACCTCTGGATCTTCTATATAGTGATTAGAGAGGATGGTTGGCTTTCTGAAGGTGGCTCCCTTTTGTCTCTATAGAAAATAATTTGTGTTAAACCTACCCCAGGCATACAAAGTGCTGGCATGTAGAGTGAGTTTAGCTGTAACAACTCTTCTATAATATTTGGGTCTTATAAAGTGGTGATAAATTAAAACTTTTTATTATGTTTTTGGTTAAGATGGAGAGGAATGACCAAAAAAAGTACAAAAATATCTAATACTATTATGTTAGAAAATAAATCACACAAAAAAGGGTGTTA